AGTCGGAGACGCCTCCAATGACGTCACAGATGGTGCCGGTTTTTCGACGGTACACTTCCCGCCACCAGAACACAGGCCGTGTTCGACAAGAATTTTAATGCTATAAAACGAAGAAAAACTCGACATTCTTATTGTGGGGAAAGCAGATGCCCATACTTCAACTGTCGAATCATCTACTGTCGAAAAAACAACTAACAAAAATGGTAAGATTGTAGATTTTGATAGCCAATTTTGTTTGAGTGATCAACACTGAAGATAAGTTAATACCGCCGGCTTTGTAGAGAAACCTTTGAAAACAATTTCGAAAACAATTCGAAATACACGTAAGAATTTACTCAAAGATAGTATTTCCTTTTTCTCTTGTAACTAGAATCTTGAAATCCATAAAGCAAAGCATAGTTGAACACCTAAGAGCCGTGGCTTGTAATATTGAAAATGACAATATTGAAACTGACAATGAAAGGCCACATCGACATTCAAAAATATATGACGACGTCGAGATTATGACAATTATGACGACAAAGACTGGTTATAGTAGTGCTATATTATATAAGAACCACGTTAAGTGTTTAGTCTATTACAAACAAAAACAATGGACAATATTTATATCCTTAGGTCTAACTATGGTTTAGATGAAGAAGAATTGCTAAAAAAGGATAAGACCTCACATGGAAACACTGAATCATGTCTATTCGGAGAAAAGTTTATTGTATTCCAGAGCTGCTTATTAGAAATTTTCAAAAGTTGCCATGTATGCCAGAAAGAAGCTTAGCCATCTATCACTGAAAGGAGAGTGGTACTATGATCACATTGGAGGTCATATGACTGTATGTATCAATGGACATCACATAATTTGGAATACTAACCATGCCATGGCCTTATGTCTTGGGGGAATATGCTTTTAACAGCATCAAAACTGCTCACTGGAAGTAATCCAGCAATGGTTATCATTTTTTTCAAGCACATTGGGGTTTAGGACATACTATTACATACAAAGGTTGTACCTTATTCCAGCTATAGACCCCTTGCATGTGACGTCAAAGCAGCTTCATCTGGAGGGCGAAACAAAAGATTTTTATCCTCTTGGGAACTAGAATCTATTCATTTGTCCTCCAGTTGGAGCTGCATTCCCATGAACTGCAAGGGGTCTATTGATCAAACATGGCAGAGCAATATGAGATTTGACAAGTGTTAAGGGTGATTTTGTTGATCTTGGTAGGAATGGGAGATGTGACTCACCTGGCCATGATATGTGCAAAATATAGAGCATACCACATGTTGTCACAGTACAGAATTGTACAGAATTTCACATGCTTTACTTGTGAATGAATTCATTTGTTTGGATTTAATAAAATATGAAAGTTTAAAATTCAGTATACATGTATAACAGGATATAATATATAATAATTCGGGTTGGGAGTTAGGACTAGACTACCCCATACAAAACAATCTGAATTTCTGCCTGGACATATAAATCCAAATTCTTGAAAAAAAGGAAATCTCTACTTTCATATTTCCATATAACACCTTAACAGTTGTCATTCAAATGTATTTTATTTGAATTGGAATAATTTTGATTTGAATAACAATACTTACCGCCTATAAAGAACAGAACTTAGGCATGACATGTAAAAGTATAGAGTGCCAGAACTTTATTAGGAAGCAAAATAATTGTCCCAACAGATGGACTTTAAATATAATATCAGGTTCAAACTAGAGTGGTTCTCATTAACCTGTGAAACAAAGTGTAATAGTCAAAGTGTAATAAAGTGTAATAGTCAAGAAATATAATAGAAAACAAAAGAGACAAAGTGTAATAAAGTGTAATACGCTAAAATGTATTTCACGGGTTAATGAGAACCACTCTATAAGGTGGATGCTCTTAATTCCTCAGATATAAATACTGAAAGATAAAAATTATKCATGTGCTAAATTATGCTATAGTTTTCTATTCTATTTTCTCTAGCAAGTGTTTTGAAAATTTTTACTTGGCAGACACATTCTTGGGAAACTTGATATATGCACTCTAACCAAAAAGGTTTACAAATTTACAAAGCAACCAAGTACTAACAATGACATTGACTTCATAATAAGACAGATAACAATAGCATTTAAATAATGATAATAATAAATAAGTTTAATCATACCCTTCGCATTTGTGGTCGATGATAATAAATTTAAAAATACGTAGACAATTCAACAGATATTGTAAAAGGATTTTATTGCAGCTCATATAAGAGTGAAAATCATACAAAGTTACAAGGTACACAATAAATACTAGATGAAAAGAGAAACATTAGACCATTGCAAGAATGACCTCTTTACCTTAAAAGTAGAGCCTCCTCTCAATACATGATAGAAGAAATGGTAATTCTACAGTTTGGTTAAATAACTCAGAAATAATCAAAGAAAATGAACATTATGACAATGAAGGACTACATTGAAATCACATTAAGTTAAAAACGTAATCAACATGCCTGTAGGCTGGCTTACAAATTTTCATAATGTGGATATCTTACACACACAGGTATAAGCTAGATAGTGTGTAAGAACTGGCTGCTAGACAATGAGCAGTTCATAACAAAATAACCTCAAAAACAGTTCTTAACGAAACACTTTTCCGTAAATCTCACAAGCATTATAATCGCTTTCCTCTTCTGCGAACAGATTTACGTTTTTTTCATCTGTCGAGAAAGCGACARAAAAATAGAGCTATTTTTCCTCACTTTCTCGGCGATTGAATAGTATCGTATTCCGAACTCGATTCTTCTTCGTCCGAATGATTGAAACTGGCGGTAAACTAGTGCTGCAATAGGCTCATACTGGTATGGACGAACTTCACTGGTCGTTCTTCTTGAGATATTATTATTTAAAACCTTATACTGTACGTAAAAATCAAACGAAGAAACCAACAAACAGCTATGCCATCGCTATGCCACTGTTTGCTGAAACCACATCTCACCATCTGTGACGTCATCACTCGATTCCATTCCTCGCGCGGAAATATTGACGTTCTTCGGAGTGATTTCGGAAGTCCAAAAGTAATCGCTAAAAAACTGAGGTAAAACTTGAAGAAATTTGCTCAAAATGAAAATATAGCCTTCTCTTGACTTAAAGTTTCAATTGAAATCGTAAAAATAGGATTGGTTTTTCCGTTGCATTTGACCTTTAAATCATTAATGGATATAAATCCTTAAATATACATCTTGATGATACAAATTTTAAACAAACAGCATTTCACTTCTACATAACTACACACCAGTTAAATGAAATTGGCCGGAGTGTAAAACAATTCTGACTAATCTATCATGGTTATTACAACTTATTATTTAAATTTAGGTTATATTTCCTACCTGGACTATTGGCGTTCTTGTTGTGGATTGCTGCCAGTTTTTCCAACTGATTTCTTGGTCCTGATAGAAGAAATAAATAAGAATCCATTAGTCTCTTTTTTTGCGATCTTCGATAACTGATGTCTGCTCCGTGGTTGTAATTTTTTAAATCCCAAATAAAAAGCTGATACATTTTTAAAACTATAAGAAAGGTTTTTCAGGCAACGATGGTTGAAGGTTACTTTGGATTGATTATCATACTAGATCAAACTCCACGTGGCCCGCCTCTGATGTAGCGCTTCAGTCCAGTGAGAACATTCTCAGATTTGAAAGAAACTGATAAATGTGTGAGTGAGGAACTATAAGATTGATGGTTATTTGGTTTCATTTATTTTATAGCTTACTTTAAAAGAAAGAAATCGTTTTAATTCATATAACTCACCTATGTTTAATATGTGTCCCATGAACCGCTTGTTGGGACCAGTTTTAACTAACACTTCTTCTCCAGCTAGCAGTTTGTCGTCCTCGCACATAAGAAAATTTCTTGGAGCCACTGTATACGTACAATCCGACTCGAAGAAGATTAGGAAGACGTGTTCGTCATCTTGCGATAAAAATAGGCAAACTATAAGCTTACACTTTTAAAATTTGTGTCAATCGATAAGTTAAGCTTAACATCTATTTCAAATTTAGGCCATCGTTGGACCTACTATAGACAAATATCGATCATCAAGCTCTTTCTCTTACCTCTAGAGTCGTTGATTACTTTTTTTACCAGCTGTCTTTCCGTCATTTTCAAAAATCTAACAGAGAAGAAATGCCGTGATGCACACACCAGCAACGACAACAGCAAAGGAATGAAGGCAGAAAGGTGCCTGATTGAAAAGGCGTTATGCACGTGACAGTGGCCCTCTGTGATTCGCTGAGAAGAGTGATGCACGTGAAGAGTGCATGGACTGTCATGTCAATCACAATTTTTTAACCAATAACTGGGTGCCAAAGTAGCAAATCTATCGTCATGTAAAATTGTGGCGGGAAATATTTCATGCTGAACGTAAAATTGCCCGTCATCATGTCGATTCAAATTAAGAACAAACCCTCACATTATGAATAGTCAAACTAATGAAGTGCAAAACACATATCAGATCGTGACTCCACGGAGAAGTCGAATTAGGAAGAGAAAAAAAGAAGATTCCAAGCTATGTAGAACACGTTCTGTAAGGAAGAGCTTGAATTATTATCGGTCTGCTCTGTTTGGTAAACATGAAACGTCTTCAAGCGATGACGATGGATACAACGCCGATGTTGACGGGGAACACAGTGGGCTTATTAATACTTTGGACCATAATGACCTAACTGAAGACGGCAAAACGGTCGGAGATGTACACGACTCTTGTGAATCAGGTATAAGAACTGCAAACGAGTCCGGTTTGATTGTTGAATGGTTTTATAATCCACGATATTATCGGACAAAATCGTTGATTGCGGCTGCTAAAAACAAAAAGATACAGGGAAAAACAAATTAACAGTATTTGTTTGATTTATTTTTATTCTAAACCGTTGTTTTGTTTTTTATACTGAGCTCTATAGATTAGCCATAAACCATATAACGTTCCACGTGTAACACATACACTGTAGAATGGGAAACCAATTAAGATCACCTGCATTCCGAAAATCATAGTTCAATGGCTTTCAATTTTGCTCAGTTGACATGAGATTTTCAAATGGTCGATTCTTTTTGATTGTTTTGTCTTTGTTGTGAATACGATTGTGTTCGATTTCAAAACCAATTATGCAATCAATAGCTTAACTTTCTAGTAGTGTAAACCTGTATTTAAAAACTCGATTATGTCGTTACGTATCTTATACAATATTGTTAGAGACTTACAGAGCACAACAGGATTGTGGAGAGATAGGAGATGACAAATATTATGAAATTGACGATAGACCAAGTGAATGACAGCGAAAATAGTGACAGCGATTCCGGAGAGATAGAGGAAGGGCAAGTTGAAGATGGTAGAGAGAGTGGTACCTGTATGGGCATAGGATACATTGAAAGTGAAGTGGGTGAAGTGATCAGAGACAGTGATGACCTATCTTCCACCTTGCATTCAGAAAACGAAGATTTGAGGATTGAAGATAGTGACAGTGACGGTGACAGTGAAAGCCATTCCACTTCATCTGATGATGATTTCGAGGATACAATATTCCAGAAAAAGTTATACGAGGGGTGCAACTTGTCTTTATGGTCAAGTTGCACATTAATTATTCAGTTTTCACGGAAATACAAACTTGCTCGCAAAGCTCAAACCGATCTACTCACATTAATCCGACTCCATTGTCCTGGGAATATTGAAAACAATCTTCCAAAAACACACAGTCAGCTTATCAAACATGCAATGCCATCACTCGGGAAAATTGAGAAAATAAAGGTGTGTAATGTTTGTAGCCAAGGAGTCAAACTGAATGAGGATGAATGTTCGAATGGCCACCAATTGAAAAAAGGAAAGCCTGTAAATGGAGACACATTTGTGCTTCAAATTCCTCTAGAGCCCCAACTTAAGGTTATTGTTGAAGGTACGTGGCAAGCCTGCATCAGTCCAGTATTTTTTAGTGGTACACTTTCAGTGTTTGTACTCTGCATACTATATAAGCATAAAGTGGAATAAGTGTATCAAAAGCATATACATGAGTGTGACAATGGAACAAAAAGTAATGTTAATTAGAAATCCAAATAACAGATGATTTTAGAGTTGAAGACAACTAGAAATGATCTATAATTACTAGAGATCATTAATCATTAATGAGTTATTATGATTAATAGCTGCATATACTTTTCTTATTACTTCCTTGAGTGATTGCATTTTTGTACAAGTGTTCTGAGAATCTTGATCAACCTATTCAATTTTTGTATGACTAACTCTTTTATTATTACATGGATTTTATAAGATAATGTCGAAGAGATTCTGGCTTCCTGCCAGAAGCAGGCAACAGAGTGCCACCAGGAAAGTGAAAGTTTTAGACATTACAGATGGCTCTTTATACAAGGAGTACTATGTACAAATCCAAAGTAATCATGACTGTGGAGATAGCTACCATATCACCTTGATGATTAGTACTGATTGGGCACCAGTTTTTAAATCTACAAATGCATCAATATGGCCATTATATGCGTGTGTTTTGGAACTCCCAATCAGTAAAAGGTACTGCTCAACTAAAGCAAATATAGTCTAGCTATTTTGCTAAATTTTGCTATCATATATAACATGAAAGCACCAATACCAGCATGACCATGACTGGGTTCGTGTAATAAATGATCATATTGAAATTTGATAATCATTATAAACTGATATTTATATCTTTATATACTAATCACTTTAAATTTCCCATTTTCTTCAATTTTGACAGATACACAGTCAAGAATAAATATAAATAAACATAAATCTACTTTGTGCTGACCCCTTAAGTGAAATTAACAAATTACAATATCAAGGTACTTCAAAATAAGTAAAGTGTGGTCTTGACATGTTGCTTAATCATGCTTTTTTTAATTTCTATTATTTTAATCAACAATATTTTTTCTAGTAACTTTTTTTAGTAGTATTTCTTTTAGGGGTTGAGTGTGTGCACTAATTGGTACAGCTACAGTTTTGTATGTTAATTGAAGGGTCCCAAATTATTTTTCCTTTTTAGGTCTAAAGTGTTATAACAGAAATGGCAGTGAGATTAATATGTTGGTTCATCTACACAGCCTTATTTCAGACCTACCTGGGAAAGCTGTTATTATGTTGCACAAGCTATTCAATGGATTGTTTGGATGCACGGTATAATGAATTTATTTGTATTAGACATATTATTAGATTGATTGCGCTCTTGAACTCTGATTAGGCAAAAGAGGATGTTGTTAATTTAATCACCAATAGCACATTAAGCGTTTAACTTATAACCACAGCTGTAATTTATCCTTTTGTAGATCTGCTTTCATCCTGGGTTAAGGTTAAATGTCAGAGGGAATGTTAGAGTATATCCATTTGGTAAAGACTATGAAATCAGAGACTCAGATGAAATGAGAAAGCATGCCATTATGGCTGAGTTCACTCAAACAGAGGTCGGATAAGAGTGCCTAGCTAAGTGCACATGTCTAAGTACTTTGTGTGGATGTTGATATCAACTAGCAAATCTAGTGTACATCTGAATAAATAATTTTGTAATACACAGTCAGTACTAGATTGCTTATTCATTTTTTGAACAAGATATCACCTCAAAATTATTATTAATTTATGTATATGGTACTACATGGAAATAACTGCACAATCTTTTGCACTTTATTTACAAGAAAAAAGCTAGTCCAAATATCATTATTCTTTCTGTGTATAAATTTTAATATTCTGGTTGACCACAGGTATTTGGAATAAAAGGTTTCTCAGTTCTACATAATTATATAAGTCTCCCAGAAGGGTGTCCTGTTGATTATATGCACTGCATTCTCCAAGGTATGTGAAAGTTTGTTTAGTTTTCTGCCTGCATGTATTTATAAAATATTAATTAAATATAATGGAGCAGACTTAGCAAAGACATGATCAATGAATTACATTTATTAAGCTGCATGTAACATAAATTAAAACCTCAGGTACAGGAAAATGGATCATTCAAGCCATCTTGAATTCCAAGAACAAAGACACCCCATACTATCTGAAACCTAGGCAACAAAAGATTCTAAATGAGAAATTAAGTAAAATCGCTGTTCCTCATGACATGGACAGAAAACCCAGAAGTTTAGATCATATCAAATACTGGAAAGGTAGATATAAACAAACACATTTTTATTATCTTTTGGTTGTTTGGTGTATTTTTTATCGATGCGTCTGATCAATAATGGAATATAAATACAAAAATGTCAAAAAACTTTGTGAAATTTGATTTTTAAAATTTAATCTTGCAGCAATAGAAGTTCAACACTTTCTTTTGTACTTTGGATTGCCATTGCTGAAAGGAATGCTTCATGAAAAATACTTTCATCACTTTGCCTTACTAACTTCAGCAACGTAGATAGAGAGATTATGCTGGCTGAGGGGCTCATTAACTCTTTCTGCCGCCTTTTGAAACCACTTTATGGTAAAACTATTGAATCAATTTTAATTCATTAAAATAATTATTAGTAAGATTTATGTGTTTATATTAATGTACTGACTTTAAACCACATTTTTGTTTGTAAAATTATTTATATGCAATGTAAATAAATAATTATGAATGATTTATTACAATTAAATTTCGTACATGTGAAAGAAGCGAAACAATTAACGCACACTGCCTAACACATTTGCCAAAGCAAGTCAAGTCCCTGGGTTCTTTATGGACTCACTCAGCATTTTCCTTTGAGGCAATGATTGCCCACACTCTTAAAGGCTTCAAAGGGACAAGAGGTGCTGCTGACCAGGTTATTGTTCTTTCAAATGATGATGATTGAAATTAATGGTGATTTTATTAATTTTATCTTTTAATTACAAGGGTTATTCAAATTACAGTAATACAGTGCCTGCCAGTTGTGGAAGTTTATATACTACTCTGGATTAATTATATATAAAATAATTTATAATCTCATTAACTTCCAGATGGCTACTAACTATCTAATTGAGAAAGGTATACATCCTCTACAAAGACAGCTCCAAGATGTTGCTGATGATGAAGTGAAATCATTCTCAACAAATTTGTCATTGTCTAAAGCAAGGTATTACTTGGGGAAAGGGCAATTTTTGAAAAAAGAAGTATTTAATATACCTGTTTTTTTAAACAAATATTATTTTGGAGTTATACCTTTAATGATTTGATTATTGCAGGTCACATTGGACACCTGTAGCAGCAACAGTTTTCTTCTCTGAAACTGTGAATAGGACTGCAACAGTTGAAGAGATTGCTGCAATTAGTGATAGCTTGATAGCTGATGAAGTTCCACCTTTGCGACCTCGTACAGACCATCTGTCTGTTGCTGAAAGGTCAAAAATCGATGACTGCATTTACCACTCTGAATTGTATCGAAGGAAAGGGAAGTCTTGCAGCTCCATAATACAGTACCATGATACAAGAACAAACAATGCCTGTTATGGAAAAGTCCAATCATTCATATCTCTTAATGGATCTTATCCCTTTGCAATAATAAAGCGTTACACTGTTGTGAATACAACAATTTGCAACAGTAATATCAGCCAACCTGATGGCCAACTTGTTTCCAGGTTTGTTAATGCTGGGTATCTGGTAAGCTATCATATTCCAGTGAATGGTCCTCCTGACATAGTACTGCATGCAATACATTGCCAGACAATTACAGCAAAGTGCATACAAGTGGAAGTCGATGATGCAATTGTGCAGGGGTATCTCACACCTGTACTAGATTTTAATTGTAAATAGATACAGCAACATTTAATATATAATTGATTGGAAAATACAGGTATATACATTCTGTAGTTTACATATTGTATATAATATTGAATTAAAAAGCTATTGTCATTTAATCATTTCTTAGTACTTTCAATAAATATTGAGCTCATCTGTACATTGATTTGTTGCTACATCCTTGAAATCTTGCAATTTTGTTTAACTGTTCACGCTTGCGCATGATTGAACAGAATAGTTTAATTAAAAAAGGCTACAACAAAAATTTGCTAAAAAAATTGGTATGATGAAACCTATTTGAATTAAGAATGCACATATAACTAATTCTGGGAACTAGGTAGATCTGCAGGGCAAACTGAGATGTGGCATGTTCTTGCTATGTTCCTGTCAAGTTCTTTCCATGTCTGTGGCATGTTCTTGTAATATTCTTGAAATGTTGTTGCCATGTACTTGCCATTTTCATGACCAGATCTTTCCAAGTCATGTCATGGAAGATCATAGCAAGAAAAAGTAAGATCTTGGCAAGAATTTTGTTGTAGCCAAAATTCATCAAACCAAGTAACGCACAGTTAATAAGTGTGTGGTTCTATTCACAATCAACAAAATATTAAGTATACGGTACATTACAAA